TAGATATGGGTCATGAGTGTTAGGAAACTGGCGCACTTTTAGCCAGGTGGCCGCATGGGCCAGCTACGTGAGCCAGGCTCCACCCCCATCCTAATGGGTTTCCCTGCTCCTGCTTCCCTGCCCTCCCTCGGGTGAAGTTTTAAAAGGGCCTGTTCCTGAACACGTGCTCTCTTGACTCCTCTCTCTAGCCACCTCCTCTGGTCTCTTAGCTCTTGGTTCTTATCTCTTGGCTCTGCTCTCCTCTCTCCTCTTCTCTGCTCTATCTTCTCTCCTTGCTAGCTCCTCTCCTTTCTGTCTCTCTCTCTTACAGTCTCCCTCTCTTTCTCCTTCGCTGCCCCTTCACTCCGGTCTGTGGGTGTTCCCAATAAACCCTTTCCCTTACTCCAGTGTCGGGTGTGCTTTGCCACAGCTAACATTAAGATATAACAATGAGCACCTCCTTGACTTGCATCCTCTGGTCTGCTGTAAAACAAACAAACAAACAAACAGGAGGAAAAGAAAGCTAGGCATCAGAAGCAATGTAAAGAGAGGTGGCAGGCCTATTAAAGGCAGCTCTGCACAGTGATCTGCCCTCAAGGAGACCCAACAGGACAGTCCACTGAGTGGCTTTCAGTGTGGTAAGCCTGGGTTCAGCAGAAGTCAGCTAGGAAGAGCCCTGGCAGCTCTGCCAGCCAAGAGTTGGGTCTCTGGAAATGGACCTGCCCTGGAGTCGAAGGACGCCCAGGTCAGAGCCACAGATCTTGCTGGCTCCAAGCTGAAGAGCCCTTCACTCAGCCCAGCTTCCAAAGTGACCACCACTGCTGAGGGGACAGCCAAGTAAGGTCAGCAACATTGCAGGCAGAACTGTAAGTTTCCTGTTAGGGATGCCACCTGCCTTTACCCGGCCAGCTCTCCTCCCAGGCCAGCTAGGTAATGGAAGTCAACAGGGTGTCTTCCCCAAGAGGTTCACACCTCCCTTAGGATGTAACCCATGTGAAGAGATAGATAGGTCTGGGCCTCATAACTGACAAGGCCTTAAAGCCCACCTGATTATTATCAAGCCTCTTCTGTCAGTTTCTATTTGCCTCTCAATCAGAAACTCAGTCATGGTTTAGACAGCAGCTCTCTTGGGTCCTCTAGTAATGACTCTGTCCTTTGTTCTAGACCCTATCTAGCCCACTTGGGGCCTCATTCTTATATAATCATAGCCTCTGCTCTAACATCAATGGCTCTGCTCCTGACCTGTGTGTATTGATGGTCTCTCCCCCACCTGATATTGTATGATTGTTCAGAATTTCCCTACAGAAAAACCCCTCTACCTGCAAAAGTTGAGTGGCCTTTCTCCCGGTTGCTTGGGATCAGCTTTGAACCGCGTTCATCAAACAGTTATCACAAGGGTCCAGAGCCCCCTCCCCCATTTCCTCTCCTCTGTGAAACCTCTCATTACCTGGTTAATGCCACTCTTAGGATCATTGGTTCCTATTCTCACTCTGTCTTTTATACTACCGTGTCTGTTTAAGTCTTTACAGGAGTTGATAAGAGAACGAACCAAGACCTTCAGCAACCAGGTAGTCAACATAATGCTGCTACAGGGATATACTCAGCTCTCCACCCAGGAGACAGCGGCTTGAGACATCGCCCCATGACAGCAGAGAGCACCTCATCACCCCATGTCAGCAGGAAGTAGCTCTAAAGACAGATCATCAGCCCTCTACCCCTCCTGGACTTTTGGGACTAATGTAATCTGATACAACTGTTGCTTTCAGTCAGTCCCCCAAAGAACACAGCTTCTCAGCAAACTCTGTGACCCGGGGGACTGCTGCGCCCTAAGGGGAGGAAGCTTCACAGCCCAGGGCCATCGTGGGAAAATGATGCACGACCTCACTGTTTGTGCACATAGGTAACATCAAGTGTGGGAACGCAGTGCACCTGCGTAATCCCTGACCAAGACCTTAACTATTCTAGTATCCTGCTGGATTCTCGATGTGATTGACAACACTGAAATCCGTGCCGTTTAAACCTGACGAGTGCATGCACCCACCCTGTAAGAAACATGTGAAAACTGGAAGCGGGCAGTTGCTTGTGAGGCAGCCCATCCAGACTGCTCTATGTTTGACTCCTGGTCTGAGGAGCTGGATAAACTTGAACTGGGATTCTCCAAGCTGAGGGAGGGGGGAGTATCCCCTGAGCAAGTGGCTGCAGGGAAACTGCATCCTCAGGCCTTTTCTTTATTCAAGGATTTGTTAATTTATTTATGTGAAAGGTAGAGTTACAGAGAGGGAGAGACAGAGGCACAGAGAGGGAGAAATCACTCCCCAAATGGCCTACAATGGCCAGGGCTGGGCCAGGCCAAAGCCAGGTGCCAGGGAAGTTTAATGCAATATGTACTCACATCCAAAAAAAACCAGAAAGACATCAAATTAAAAATGTGACAGTGAATCTCAAGAACATAGAAAAATTAAAATAAACCAAACCAAAAGTCACTGGAAGGAAATAAATAGTAGAAATTAGGCAGAGTGGATGCTGTGGCAGTGTCTTCAGCTGCCACTTGGAACACCCACAGCCCACATTTGAGTGCCTGGGATTGAGTCTCAGCTCCGCTTCTGATGCATCTTCCTGCTCATGCACCTGGGAAGCGGCAGATGGTGGCCCAAGTACTTTGGCTGCTGCCACCCACATAGGCCCAGATGGAGTCCCTGACCCCCGGCATCAGCCTGGCCCTTGGGTTGCTCCCATCGCACACTGAGTGCCTGGTCTAATCCCAGTCTGCTCCTGATGCCAGCTTCCTGCTCATGTGCACCCTGAGAGTGAGGACTCAGGGCCTGGGTCCCTGCCATCTACGTGGGAGGCCTGGGCGGAGTCCTGGGCTACTGGCTTCAGCCTGGCCTTTGGGGGAGAAAACCAATGGACAGAAGATCTCTGTCTCTCTCTCTTTCTCTCTCTCTCCTGCTCAAATAAAAATAAATACATAAACAACTTTTAAAGACTCTTTCCAGGGCTGATTTGTTATTTGCCGACTTCCATCAGCCTCTGGCAGACAATCAGCAGGACAATATGAACACTAATATCACGCCAGGGGGAAATTTTTTTCTTTTTCACAGTTTGCTGTGATACTCAGTTTGTTGTTGTTGTTGTTGTTGTTGTGTTGTTGTGTAAAAAAACTTTCCACTTCAGGATAGCTTATAATTTACAAATCAAAAAATTGTGAAGCAGTACACACAGTGCCTTTCCACTGCACACCCAGCTGACAGCTCACATCCATGCGTTCGTCACAATCAGTAAACGACACCCAGCTTTCCTGTTGTGAACATTTGCTGTTAGTGGATGGGAAAAAAAGACAGTGGGCACCTGGTGGGAAACTGAAGATGGGCTTTCTTCTGAACCACGGGGTCCCCGCCCGCTGCTGTCCACTCGGATGCTCTGCAGCTCCCAGCAACACTGCTCCTCCACCTTTTCCACCCCCATAACACAGAGCCTGACAGCAAAAGGAACCTGGGAAGCCCTCTGTCCCTCCCACCTAGACTCAGGGAATAGGAGGCCAGAGCACCGGGTCTTCTCCCAGCTCAGCAGCGCTGAGACTAAACCAGGCTCTTCAGCTCCTAATCTGAGCTCTTTTCCTCTTCTCACACCGCTCTCTCCGTGCAAAGCCCAGCACAGCGGCTGCACAGAATCTCTGTGTGACTTGACTGTTGTGAGCACTCCAGCTGCGCTCCATTAGGAGGCTGTGATAGGGGCTCATTGTTCTCAAGCCCACAAAGGAAAGTTAATACACACCTTCTTCTTCCCTGCACCTTTAAAAAAAAAGATTTATTTATGTATTTGAAAGTCAGAGTTACACAGAGAGTGATGGAGAGGCAGAGAGAGAGAGAGAGAGAGAGAGAGAGAGAAAGAGGGAGAGAGAGAGAGAGAGGTCTTCCATCTGCTGGTTCACTCCCCAACTGGCCACAATTTCCAGAACTGCGCCAACCCAAAGCCAGGAGCCAGGAGCTTCTTCCAGGTCTCCCATGTGGGTGCAGAGGACCAACCACATGGGCCATCTTCTACTGCTTTCCCAGGCCATAGCAGGCAGCTGGAACATGTGTTTCAGTCTTGGCACCCACATAGGAGACCTGAAAGACGTTCCATCTCCCAGGCCCGGCACTGTGGCGCTGAGGGTTAAAGCCCTGGCCTGAAGCGCCAGCATCCCATATGGGCGCCAGTTCTAGTCCCAGCTGCTCTTATTCTGATCCAGCTCTCTGCTATGGCCTGGTATAGCAGTGGAAAATGGCCCAAATGTTTGGGCCCCTGCACTAGCATGTGAGACCCAGAAGAAGCTCCTGGCTCCTGGCTCCTGGCTTTGGATCAGCACAGCTTGGCTATTATAGCCATCTGGGGAGTGAACCAGCGGATAGAAGACATCTTTCTCTGCACATCTCTCTGTAACTCTGTCTTTCAAATCAATAAAATAAATCTTAAAAAAAAAAAAAGCAGAAATTCCATCGCCCAGCTTTAGACAGGCACAGCCTCAGCCTGTGTAGCCTTTGGAGGAGAGAACTGGCAGATGAAAGAGAACTCTCTCTCCACTGTGTGTGTGTGTGTCTGTTAAACCACGGGTTTTAATAAGCAAATAAATATTTTTAAAAACTCTACATATAAAAAACTGTACATATGAAATTGTATATTTTATAAAAATGTAATAATCACCTGTATTTAAAATATTTATCCTTGTAATATCTATAATGTTTCTCTCTTGCTCTATGAATCCCAAATGATGCTCTAGCTTCCATATTCAGAAAGAATAGTTGCCTTCCTTTAGCACAGTAGGGACATGGTCATGTCTGTGCTGCTGCCACCAAGGAGGAGGAAAGGAGGGAGCCTCAGAGGAGTCAGCCTGGCCCCTTCCACCCAACCCTGCAGGACCTTCAAGCCTGGCTGCTCTGAGAATCACTCTCAGCAGATGGGGCCAGGAGGGGCAGCTGGGGCAGCCCAGCCTCACACTTCTGCTTTCCTGGGGGGTTTTTGTTAGGGCTTGTATCACTGTGGCAACATAACTACTACCATAATAAGTACATTGACAGTAGTAAGTGGCAGCATCGGCACACTCCAGGTCGCTGATGGTGAGAGTGTACTCTGTCCCAGATCTACTGCCTTTGAACCGCGATGAGACCCCAGATGCCAGATTGGATGCAGCATAGATCAGGAGCTTGGGAGGCTGCCCTGGTTTCTGCTGATACCAGGCTAAATTACTACCAATGCTCTGACTGGCCTGGCACTTGATGGTGACTGTGCCTCCCACAGGTTCAGACACGGAGGCTGGAGTCTGGGTCATCACAACATCACATCTGGCACCTGAGGAGGAAACAGAAACACAGAGACCACACTCATCCTCACGTTCTCAGAGGATGCTCCTGCAGAGACAGCAGCCCTGGCCACACTGCCCGAGGCCGTTCCTGCTGCTGGCCTTCCTTACCTGGGAGCCAGAGCAGCAGGAGCCCCAGCAGCTGAGTGGGGGCCCTCATGTTCATGCTGGGTCCTGCCTGGCACTGCCTCCTGCATGGGGCGGGAGCAGCCTGCTCCTAAATGCCCAGAGAGGTGGGCGGTGCTCTGGGGACATGCAAATGAGCAGGGGCGGGGCAGGGCTGTGCCCAGCTGAAGGGCCCAGGGCAGCTCAGAACTCAGCCCAGGGGCTGTGTCTCCAGCTGCCCCAGCTCTGACCAGGGCTGCACAAGTTTACCTGCAGTGCTCATGTTTCTACCAGGAGACGCCACATCCTAAAGTCACTGAGAGATAATTTCAAAAACTTTTGGTGAACTGAACGACCTGCTGGTGTAATGTATTCATGCTTATGTTGGGATTCTGTAGGAGAAAGAAATTTCTAGGGAATACTTAGTTACATCTTAAAACTGAGGTCATTGTCTTTTCTTGTTTTTCCTCTGATGCCCTCACATTGTCCCCTCAAGGCAGACCGCTGCACCAGGGAGATGGTCTCTGAGAGACGAGACTTCTGCCCACACTCACCTCTGTACTGACTCAGAATAAACATCCTCAAAACAAGCGACTGCCAGAGACCAGGACTCAGAAGGAGAACGCAGGTGCTTAGAGGAGAGATCACACGTGTGCGCTCTCCCATCTGCAGCCAGAGTTCTGAGTCAAGGATACAGGAGGAAACCAGAAGTGCGAGTTTCAAGGAGTCACCAGAGGTCTGAGAAACACTTCCTCCCTCCCCTGTCCAGAAATGTCCACACTTTCTTAAGAAATCCAGAGAGGGGGGCTGTGCTATGGCACAGAGTGTTAATGCACTGGCCTGACGCACTGGCTTTCCATATCGGCACTGGTTCTAGTCCCGCCTGCTCCTCTTCTGATCCAGCGCTCCTCTATGGCCGGGGATAGAGGTAGAAGATGGCCCAAGACCTTGGGCACTACACCCATTGGGAGATCCAGAAAAGCTCCTTGTTCCTAGCTTTGGATAAGCGCAGCTCCGAGGATTGCAGCCACTTGGAGAGTGAACCAGAGGATGGGAGACCTCTCTCTTTCTCTGCCTCTCACTGTAAATTTGTCTTTCAATAAAAAAAAAAAAAAAAAAAAGAAAGAAAGAAAGAAATCCGGAGAGGAGGGAAGGCTGGCATCATGGCACAGTGGGTAAGGCTGCCACTTGCAATGCCAGCAGCCTACATCACAGACTGGTTTGAATCCTACTGCTCCACTTCTGATCCCATTTCCTGCTAATGCTCACCCTGGGAGGCAGCAGGAAATGGCCCAAGTTCTTGGATTCCTGCCCCACAGGGGAGACCGGGGCAGTTCTGGCTCCGGACTTCTGCTTGGCCAGGAACTCACTGTTACAGCCATTTGAGGAGAGACCACTTACAGACCCAACCCCCATCTTTGCCTCTCTCCAATGCTCAGACTTGCAAGTGAATAAATAAATATTTATAAACATGGAAAATGTTAACATTTATGAAAATTATCTAAATTACATTTATTAGACATAAGTATTCACCACAGTACAAAACACCCTGCTAAAGCTGGGCTCTTTTTTTTTTTTTTAAGATTTATTTCATTTATTTGAAAGAGTTACAGAGAAAGGTAGAGACAGAGAGAGGTCTTCCATCTGCTGGTTCACTCCCTAAATGGCAGCAAATTCCGGTGCTGCGTGGATCCGAAACCAAGAGCCAGGAGATTTTCTCGGTCTCACACTTGGTGCAGGGGCCCAGAGACTTGGGCCATCTTCTATTGCTATCCTGGGCCATAGCAGAACTGCATCAAAAGAGGAGCAGCTGAGACTTGAACCTGCACCCTATGGGATGCCAGAGCTTCAGGCCATGGCTTTAACCTGCTGTGCCGCAGTGCCATGGGCTCCATTATTTTCACATCCAGTGTCTGGGCACTGATTCTTCCACTGACCTCTGTGTTGGCTGGTTTCATGCCTCACCAATTTGAGAAATTTAAGAAGCTTTTCCCTCAATCGAAGAACTATTGGCCATCTGACGATTACTGAGACTACAATTAGTGTAATCTTTTCAGGAAACATAGTGTGGAACTGCCCGATTCGTCCCCTCTGCCTCTCCCTCTGTCTCTACCTCTGCCTGTGCCCGAGACAGGAGGATGCACTAGGTGGACCTGGACACCCTCTGTCCATGTGCCCCCAGCAATGGCAGTGTCCAGGGAGGATCTCACTTGAAGCATAGTGGAAGAAGGTATAAAACATATGTTTGCTTATTTGCCCTGATCACTAAAAAAAGATCTATGGGTTAAAGAGCTCTGTTGGATTTCTTGTCCTTTTTTCTAAATCTAGAAAAAATTGTGATACTTTCAGTTTTGTAACATTGTGTACAAACAATGAAGCCACTATTGTTTCATTTCCATGAGAATTGTCTAGCTGATTTTGCTTTGAATGAAAAACTGCCCTAGCCAGGATTGAAAGCTGATGTGATTCCATCATGGACCCCCGGGGGCGCCAGTGCTCCTCAGGTCTGGTAGTAACAGAGGGTTGGGAGGACTGAGAGACTCAGCCTTGTCTAGACTCTGCAGGAACAGTGGTTTTTCTGCTCACTCCTCGTTGAATTCTTTGTTTAGTGGAAGGCTTAGCTAGTATTTAAAAAGTACATTGAAAGTATGTCATCAAACTAAATTGAAAATATTAAAAAAACAAAAAAAGAAGAGCAGTAGGGTGGAGTGAGGAAGGAAGGAGAGTATGGCTCAAAGTATCATGAATTCTCAAAATGTGTATATAACAGGCAGCACTGTGGTGTAGTGGATAAAGCCACCCCTGCACTGCCAGCATCCCATATGTGCACCCGTTGGGGTCCTGGCTTCTCCACTTCCAATCCAGCTCCATACTAACAGCCTGGGAAATCAGCTGAAGATGTCCCAAGTGTTTGGGCCCTGGCACCCATGGGAGACCTGAAAGAAGTTCTGGCTCTTAGCCTTGGCCTGATATAGTCTTGGCCGTTGCAGCCTTTTGCAGAGTATAACAGCAGATGGAAGATTCTCCCACCCCGTGTGTATGTGTTTTTGTGTTTGTGTGTTTGCATGTGTGTGTAACACTGACCTTAAAATAAACAAATAAATCTCTTAAAAAATGAAGATATGGACCGGCACTGTGGTGTGGTGGGTTAAGACGTTGCCTGCATTGCTGGCATCCCATATGGGTTCCGTTTCTAGACCCAGCTGCTCCTCTTCCGATTTATCTCTCTCTATGGCCTGGGAAAGCAGTGGAAGATGGCCCAAGTCCTTGGGGCCCTGCACCCTTGTGGGAGACCAGGAAGAAGCTCCTGGATCCAGGCTTTGGATGGGGCAGATCCCCCAGTCGCAGCCATCGGGGAGTAACCGGCAGATGGAAGACCGCTCTCACGCTTTCTCTACCTCTGCCTCTCTGTGACTCTTAATTTTCAAATAAATAAATGAATCTTTTTAAATAAAATGGACAAATAATGGATACTTTGCCTTTGTTAAAGTAAGTAAACTCATGTAACTTGATTAATAAATCCATGGAAGAGCTAACAGTTCTATATGCATTTCCAAGTCTCACTGGGGCTTACTCTAGACTTAGAGGTAAGTGCACGAAGCGTTAGGAACACCCGCAGGCTGCTTCTCTGGAGCTGTCACCTAGAGAAGAGCTCAAGGAGTGGTGACCCCAGTCAGAGTCTGGAGCTGCCTCCACATTCAACATCTCAGGAGTCTTCAAGGACTTATACTTTTTTTTTTCCTGACTTTGACTTGTTTTTAAAGATGGGTTTAACTGTCAAATAAAAAAAGAGGTCATATGCAATAACAAATACAAAGAAACAGCCTACATTATGCAAATCTAACAGAGTCTATGCGGTGAGAACTCCATACAGTATGATTGAAGGAGGTTTTCTCTGCATTTCTGTGCCTAAAATGTGCTTGGAAAAGGCCTCTGGTCAACATGTGTGCTCTTAGACTAAATGAAATAATTGAGCTAAAAAAATGGTCTGTGGTGAGTTGAATTCAAATAAGATTTCACAACTGGGTAACTTAAATGGGAAGACAAAGTTACAGCAAGCATATTTTCTCCTTTTCCATCCTTATGTAACGCTGATTTTTTTGGTGTTTATACCTTTTAAAAAGGGGATAAATGGAATCGCATGCTCAGAGCTTCCAGAACACCACAGCCCTGCTGCCTCCAGGGTTACCTCCAGGGAGACCTGAGCTCCTGACCACACAACATACCTGGAGATGTCTGAGCCGAAGAGAATGGAATAATTCATTACAGCAACAATTCACCAAGCAAACACCAAGGAAGAGAACACCTTTCACCTCCTCCCTGGTCCTGCTCTGACATCCCAAAGTGTTCACTTTGCTCCCATTGGGTGTCTTGACAAGAGGCAAACAGCAGTTTATTGTGAGGGGACTTGGCACAGCATTCCTCTTAGATACAACTCTGCTGGGTGAAACACTTGGATGATCTCTCTTCAGTCTCGGTATGTGACGGCAGGGGGCTCCCAAGCAGAACCTGAGTGGAAGAAGAGCTTAGGATCTGTGTATCTGTTTCCATACCGGGGGCAGGGATTAGAACACGGTGACCATGAGGGGCAGCACTGACCCAGGATGAGAAGGGACAGAGGAGATGAGGAAGGGGAGGAAACA